ATTTCTATAGGATTAGTATTCAGGCCAGCATGAGGCTTTTATATGGAGAAAGCTAGGTCTTCAGCAAATGAGGTGTCTGGATTTGATAATTTTGTTACTGGCAAAATCTCTCAGAAATGAGCAACGTGTTGTAAAACAGAGGGCTGATCAGTCCACTTTCTGGCAGCACAGCCAACGCTTCCAACTCCTACTTAAACAATGGGAGTCAGGGTTCACGACTCCACTTAGGACAAAACTTACAGGAGTCACCCTTAAATTCCCAGCATTATGAAATATCTTTACTGTGTTTCTGTTGCGTAAGCCAACCATAGGACACTAGTTAGGCAACAAGATGCAGAAAAGCATCCATGTGTCCCCACAACTATAATCCAAACAAAGCCTCGGTTGAGCTGGAGTTACGTATTTAACTGGCACACAACTCTAAGAAACTTGCAGTGTCAACAGGAAAAAAACCTCACAAGTGTTCACTGGAAATTCAAAGCTGAAGAAATATGAGCATCACCCAAGTTGCATGTAAGCGTGTGGTAATACAAGCCATTTTAATAGAACTGACGTCCACGTGCTGGAACTGAGAAACATCAATCCACCAAAAGCCGAAGAAGCACCATGGAGGGGGGTGGGCTGCACTGCTAGCCCGTATCCACTCAACTGTTAAAGGAGCTGCTTACCTCAGCACACTGCTGGTTTGAACCCTCTCAGACCAACTTCCCTGTAGTCAAGCAACCGCGTTATATTGCTTTATAGTCTGGCTGTGTAAGTATGAGCTCTCCCCAGCCTGAGCTGCGCGGAATGTAGGTTACTTTACTTTTGGTCTGGTTTTTGAGAGGTTTGCAGCCAGGTTATATAACAAGGCAATCCTTCCACAGGTTCAGACCTGCATGTTTTGGGAAATGAGGGTAGGAGACTTGTTCTGCAGCATTTGTTCTTGTCTGGCTGCTTTCTGAGAGAGAAGTTATTAAATGCTCTGCTTCTGTGGGCCAAAAGGAGTTTGCCAGAATAAGGTCAAGGCAGAAGCTAATGGACTGAAAAGTTACACTGTAGTGACAAGCAAGGAACGGAGACTCTAATGGTATTAGCGTCTTAAGACACTGATGTTTTGCAGCTGGATGTTCCTCCGAAAAAGACTTTCCCTTGGATTTTGAGCCCATGGTCGAAGTAAGGATGTTTCTCTGTAACACTACACTTCAGAGCTCGTGTTCTGCAGACTACCACAAACACGGTGTTGGTTTAGGACGTGACATGGTAACAAGATGCCAACAACTGTTCCTGTGTGTGACCCATAGAACATCTCCACTGAGCCATGGAAAACTGGGATTTGACATGGTGCTGGATCTTTTCCTCACTTTTAGTGATTAAAGTGCAGCAAGAGGCTAAAATTGTATCAAATAATGCTTTTCTAGAAAAACAACACTCGGGCTGTTGCTGTAGCTGGCATGGGGAAGTTCAGCAGTTACCACTGTGAACAAAGCAGAGATCTATGAAAATAAACCCGAGGCCTCAGCTCTCCTCGTATACCACAGCTGCCGGGTATGCAGAGCAATATGCTTGCATGCAACGCATTTTCAGTACCGTTATTGGCTCACACAACAGAACTTTTAAGGAAGTTGGCTGTTTGTTCCAGGGCTTTTTGATCTTTGCCTCAGGAAATTTCATCAGCAGAGATGCAAGAAAAGAAATAAGAAACGTGTTTTACTCAACTCGTAGACCAATTTGTTATCTTGGGCAAGTCATCTCCCACAAGTGAAAGGGATATAGTATTTACTCAGCCTTCAGATACAAAAGGGTGCCAAGCGGCTGGCAGCGGTGTTACACCTTCAGGGGAACCTGTCCAGGGTTCTCTCCTCCTCGCTCATTCCCCTGATCTAGCCAGGATGTAGTGTACCGATCAGCCAAGTCCCTTCATTCTCCAGTTTGAACATGGAAAACATCAATAACTCATAGATTTTTCTTGTTGGGCAAATTCAGCAAAAGATGTCAAGACTGTTTCTGTTCTCTCCCCTGCAGTGTGAGGGAGCTGCAAAGGTCAAGTCAAAAGATTGCCAACAGGCCAAGGAGAAAGCTCTTACTTAGTTTACATATGCTCCCGTTAACATTGATTTTTCTTCTGTATTCAGCACATTTCTCCACAACCCCCCACATTACCTTGTCAATCTTCTGCTCCCATCAGCATTTCCTATCTTTCCCAGTGTTTTTGGCACCTAATCCTCATTTTTCTGCCACAATCTTTATCTCAATTATGTCACAGCCTTCACGTTGCAATTCAATTATGTCGCTACAAAATTTATACCAGGCTCTGAAAACAGGCACTTCGTGTCTAATAAGAAATGCAGGGTTTCACCCCGTCCCCCCTTCTTGCTGAAGGGCTGTTCGGCAGCTGGGGGAGTCTGTGACTTATTCCAGTAGCTGGTTGAATGGACCATCTGATGGCACATAAAAACGGTTTTTAAACATTTCCTGAGGTACTCTCAGTGTCAGTTCATTGCATGTAACAGTTCAGTTTAGTTTGAGACTTTGAAACAAAGAACAGAAGCAGCAAAAGAATTTAGATTTGCCTTCAGACGAAGATTCTACATTTGGGCTTTTAGAAAACATATGAAGCTACTAACTGGCAGGAGTGATTGTCTCAAGAGGTAACTCCACGTTTTAATTATATAATTCTCCGATTTAAAAAAATTAAAATATTGTGACAATTCTGACACACTAGTTTCCTTCACAAAGCTCTAAAAAGGAACCGCAGCCCTCTAACAAACCACCGTATCCTCCCCCGCTTGCTAGGAGCAGGCAGCTTTCCTAGACAGAGTTTGCTCTTCTGGATTAAACAGCTTTTGAACTCAATTTTGAGGGGAACCAGGTTTTCACAACCCCCCGTTATTGAAAATGGCCAGTAATTCAAAAGAAACGCATCTATGAGCTACGCTTTTTAAATTAAGCTACAACTGAGAGTTATTCCAGCAATATTGAAAGCAGACATACTTATTAGGAACAAAGTAAATGGGAAAATAATCCTCAGGGAAATTCTCAAGCCAGTTTGTCTCTGAAGAGTAAACCAAAAGCGAGGTTTATTAGTAAGGCCTCCAACAAGAAAGCTAACCCAGCTGCTGTGCAGCTTAGAAGAACACAGAGCAGCTATGAGTCAGCAGTAAAGGGTGACAGGTGAAGAGTTCCTCATCCCTGCAGAAGAGCTGTTTGTGTGTGTTTGGGGATTTTTGGCACCTGCATGATTTGCAGCCTCAGGCCCACAGCCCCACAAAGGGGGCCCAAGGGATCAAAAAGATCTAAGGCTGCAGATTTAGCCTCAGTCAATAGCCTCAAAACAGAGGCTGAAACCCCCGTGCAGGGAGCATCACCGGCCTAAAAGGATGACAAGGCTGGTGTCTGTTTTTATCATAACCCAGCACAGTGGGCTATGGAGGAGGAGGAAGGTCTATATTAATCTTTCACATAAGCTGTGGACTGTGTTCCAGAACAATTTGTACCCTGGTAGTTACTGATTTAGGTACTAGGATACAGATGTGCACCTTTTTTCCAGCTGACCCCCAATTCAGACAATTCACACTTTCGGTATTCCGAGTGCAAGCGAAAACTAAAAAGCAGTTGTTCTCTGGTGGTGCAGTCCCACACCGAAAGCCTCATTTGCAGGAAGGTAAAGATTTAAGGAAACTGTCTACAAAACTCCCCAGATCTGGGCACATGCATTATATACTCTAGAAGTAACAGGTTCAGGTTTCTTTAATTCATGCTTTTAGAAACAAGTTTTAAATCTACTGCTCTGTACTGATCATTTTATAATGCACACCCTTCAGGACAAGCCTCAGGTAGTTGAGAAGAAGGAAGTTCCATTTATGTCACAAGTCCCTGTGATGAAAACCAGGTTCTAATGCAGACGATGGTCTGAGCAAGCTGTTCAAAGCTTCACCAGCATTAACTGCTGCTGGAAGATTAGGGAAGATACCTAAATATTTTAGCACATTTATACTTCTTACTCAGTTACAAACAGTACATTTATTACCATTAATATTTTGAAGAACTAGAAGATTGTGAAATACCATATTAAGTAAGGATGAAGGGATGGAGAGCAGCTCTACCGAGAAGGACTTGGGGGTACTGGTGGATGAAAAGCTGGACATGAGCCAGCAATGTGCGCTCGCAGCCCAGAAGGCCAAGCGTATCCTGGGCTGCATCCAAAGCAGCGTGGCCAGCAGGTCGAGGGAGGGGATTCTGCCCCTCTGCTCTGCTCTGCTGAGACCCCACCTGCAGTACTGCGTCCAGCTCTGGAGCCCTCAGCACAGGAAAGACATAAACCTGTTGGAGCGGGTCCAGAGGAGGGTCATGAAAATGATCAGGGGGATGGAACACCTCTCCTGTGAAGAAAGGCTGAGAGAGTTGGGATTGTTCAGCCTGGAGAAGAGAAGGCTTCGGGGAGACCTTATGGCAGCCTCTCAGTACTTAAAGGGGGCTTATAAAAAAGATGGCAGCAAACTTTTTAGGGGGGCCTGTTGTGACAGGACAAGGGGGAATGGCTTTAAACTAAAGGGGGGTAGATTTAGACTAGATAGAAGGAAGACATTTTTTACACTGAGGGTGGTGAAGCACTGGCCCAGGTTGCCCAGAGAGGTGGTGGATGCCCCATCCCTGGAAACATTCCAGGTCAGGTTGGAGGGGGCTCTGAGCAACCTGCTCTAGTTGAAGATGTCCCTGCCCACAGCAGGGGGTTGGACTAGATGACCTTTAGAGGACCCTTCCAACCCAAACTATTCTATGATTCTATGAATCCAGCTCTTAGTGAGACAACTCATTGTAGCAGAACCAAGGCCATCTACTGCAGCATCACCACCGGGAAGATGGTGCATAGATCAGGCCGTTCACAGCACTGCACTTCCTGGAATACAATATGCACATATGAAATACATTTGGTATTTTATTAAGTAAACAAAGCCATTATCAGTGCACATTGTAAGCAGCAAAAAGAAAAGAAGCACCTCAGACTTTCATACTGTAACAAAAGTTCTGTGGAAGCTGCATTTTATTTGAAAATCCACCCATTTTTGCTAACATACATTTTAATATTTTAAACAAAAATAGAATCTGCAGAGACAATGCAGCAAGTATGCTTAATTCATGTACAGAATTGCTTTCATATCATTGACTATCCTTCTGAAGGCCCCACTCCACCCAGAAGTTATGATGTATTTACACAAAGCACCGATCAACAGTGCTACTTTAATTCTTCGTTAACTAAATACCCACTAGACGTATGTAAGGAAGCTACTTCCCCCTTTTTTACTTTTAAAAGGTACATGATCATAATCATGGCACTAGCCAAATGAAAAGGCTTTCCCCCCCAACACACAAACACCTTTTTTTTTTTATAACAGGGAAGAAGGAAAGTCTTAAAGTGAAAGCAATTCCTCACATTCATTTTGGAAAGGCCTTATAATGTCAAATGTAAAAATAATGACATGCCAAGCACAAAGCAATAAAGTTCCTTCCCAATGCACTAATGCTGAATTAAAAATGTAGTGCTTCTTCTAGTCAGTTAACTGTTCCCTTGCAAAATCCTAGGCACAGAATTGACTATAAGGATTAATGCATTTTACAGCTCTTCCCTAATTCCCATATATACTGAGAATTCATTAGATTCAGACCTTTAAAATATTTAGTGCTCTGTATGTCAGCTGAAAAGCATTCTGAATCAGATTCATTCTTTGTGGATAAAAATCAGACATACTGTATACATCCATACTCATTTTCATAAGGAGGTTTTTTGATACAATATTAATGTTAAATTGATAATCATAAATAAATACAAATAATAATACATAAGGAATGTCTACTGCAAACTGAATATATAATTTTTAAAAAAAGTTAATTTCCGTTACTGCTGTGCCTACATTTGTGAGGACTGAAGAAAAGGTAACTGCAGAATTAAGAGTTAGGATTTGACCCTCCCCTGCCCAGAGTCTTGTTTCGAGTTACGGTAAAGGACGCATCGCCATGCCAGACAGCATTTCCAAACACCAATCTCAATTTCCAGAATAAAGGCTTCTCTTCGTATGTTACTGATTATGGATATTATTAGAAGCTGAAAGTATTGACGTGTTAAGTCACCAGGACAAAAAAATAGATCTTAGTCTTAATTCATGGCAATTCTTGGCTTTGTACTGTATATTGACGTTTTCTTACGGAGTTGTCCCGGGTTCCTTCATTGGCCTTCATCATTTCACCGCATCATTTAATGGAAGAGGAGAGTTTGAGAGAATGAAGTTCTTTTTTTTTCCTGGAAGCGGGGGCTTACTGGTGAGCACATCTTTTCGGAAACGTTCCTTTCTCTTCCATCTAACGCAGTTACATAAACTGAATCTGGAAAGATTAAAAACCCTTGTGTTAACATCCAACAGAAGTAGGACTTCACTATAAACCTGCGTTTTCTTCAAAAATTTACATTCTTCAAACGCCCAAGCTACCCCAAGATCTGAAGCTTTGAATAGAAACAAAAATTTTACGAAAACAGGGCCAGAAAGCAACCAAAAGCCATCAGGAGGTTTGTCCAACTACACCAGCCTTTGGAACACCTCTTTGCACTAAGCTGGTTTGTCCAACAATAAAAACCCACTACTGCTTCGCCATGCAACATTGTCACCAGCGGCAGCGCAACACGGATCGACATCATTACGAAGAGAACTCAAGGCCACTTTTCACGCTGAACCAGAGGAAGTGCCCAAAGAAAAGCAGATGCTGCGTGCAATAAGGCCTACTCTTTCTTTACACTATGTATTCTTGAATTTTTTCATGTTTTCACTCATTTAACTCCCACCTGCCCCAGACTGATAAAAAAAAGAACAGAAGAACTCCAGTGCACATCTGTACCAAAACTGAACCCTCGCACACCTGAAACCAAGCCTCTCCCCCCACACGAAGTGAACTCTTTGCTCAAGCAATCTGGTGAAGTGCAGAAGCAGACTGCCAGCAGCAGTCAGGTGTTTGCGATAACCACGAACCCTGCGCGTTTTCCTGATGAAGTGGTAAATACCCAGAGGTACCAGTTCCTTCTCCCCAGCTGCAGCAAGGTACCTTGTGTGCTGGCTCTTGCAGTTCGGAAAGCAACTATCAAACTTTATTTCCAAGCAAACTGAAGCAAAATGACTTGATCGGGCCTTTAAACGGCTGCAGTTAAGCATACAGAGTTTCCAAGTCACTTCCACAATGCTTCCAACTCAACATGACTTGTTTTATTTTCTTCAGGAACAGTTCTAGTCATGTTAATAAAACTTGAATTAGAACTTCAATTTCGCTTTATATCACAAAAAACAGCATCTCCCCAGAATAATGGACAATACCTAAGTTGTTCTACAAGAAATCCTGGAGAGAGAGCTCTGCAAAGGGATCCTTTCCTGAGGCTCTGTGAGGACTCTGACTGGAAGGGCTGGATGCTGCAGACAGCTAGTAGGAAAGACGACAGAGAAAGGGAAAGAAAAAGAAAAAAAGGTCTCAGAATGACAGAATATGAAAGCTGAACGTGTAATGACAGGACAAGGGGAGGTTAAGAGGCAAACTTGGCAGAAATCAACTATTAAAACAAGGTGTTTGGTCATATGGAAAACAGAAAGCCTCTTCAATGGTCGGTGTAATGCAGAAACAAGCTGGATGTGACCCTCCAGAAAGGAAACTTAATTGGCATTTGCCAAATAAGCAGATAACCTCGCACTTTCACAGCGGTTTTCTTCAAAAGAAGATACAAAATGTTAAGCCTGACACTCCTGTGAAACAGGTTAGCACTCTCCCCGCTTTACTGGCAAAACTACGTATTGGCAGGGAGAGATGAGGCTGGGGGACTGGCCGGGGCACGGCAGCTCCAGAAGGAACAGCCCTCAGCATCTTCTCCTCTCAAAATAGGTTGTGTATAAAAAGAAGCTGGAGAGCAGACAACCGACAATTGTCAATTTGGGGCCCAGAAGGAGAACACGAGATACATTCTGGGGGTAGGAAAAAAAAATTGGATGAGAGTTTGTCAGCCGCCGCCGTTTTAGGCGAGAACTGAAGACTGAGGCCGATAGCCTACACTATCTGTACTAACAAAAATTACACCCTCTAGCCATGTATTTAAAGCACCACACTACAAATTCAGCCATATGAAGCACATAATTTACAAGTAGGTAATATTGGTGTTCCAGCTGCTGCTCCTGGAAGGGACCAGTAATCTCCAGGCCGTAATTGCAGGAGTATCTGCTATTTGTTGATTTAATTTTTTTTAGCCCTTTTCCTTCTTTGTTAGTACTTTCCCCCTTATAAAATGGTGCTTTATTAAATTCTACTTGCTCTCCTCCCTCACAGAGCTTGCATGTTTTTGCAGTTACAAGTAAAACAGTCAACTTTCTCCATTTCAGATTCCATCACTCTAACAATTTACTCATAATCGAGTCACTAATCACCAGTGCATCCTTGCACTTCATACCCACTGCAAAAAAAATTGTATGAAGAGGTATTTCCTCTAGAAATACTGAATGCCTGCCAACCTACGCATGACAGGGAACATGCTTATGGGAACTGCTTGCAGAAGTGCCCGGAGTGTAAATATCACCATTGCAAATTTAATTTTTTCACGTTAATGTCTGTCTCGGAAACCACGTGGGGAGGAGTTCTGTCAGGATCAGTACTCTCTATCTGGGCTGGAATCTTCATCTCCCTGCCGAAACCCCACTCCCAATAAGGGCACTTGGGTCCAGTCCCCATAAACAGATTATGGAAGAGTCATGAGGCAGAATGGGAAGTGCTTGAGAAGCAGTTTCAGGTTGTCACAAGTTCCCCCTTTTAAACTTGGTTCTTCCCTTTGGAAAGCCGCAGGTCACACATCCCACCGCTCTCCAGGATTTGAGCCAGACTAATGATAGAGTCCAACAGAGCCCTAACTTCAGCGAGGCGTGCCTGCTGCCACCGGAGTTCATGAGACATTCCTCCTCTTCACGGTCAAATGGCTTGAAGTCACATATTAAAAGTCCTGTTAAATTGAGTTGGCAAATCTCCAACTGATATCAAGTCCAAAATAACGTCCCAGTTTGAAAGCAGTGTGGAAGACTGGTAGGTTCAGAGCTCTGTCATTTGTGCAACATCAGCATGTAACCAGAAACAGAGGCGAAATTTCAGGAAGCCTGTTCGGGTTAAATACTGGGCAAGAACTTGACAATGCTACTTCCTAGATGCCACAGCCAAATTCAGACAAGACAATATCTTACAGTAAATACATATTTTAATGAGGTTCCTCTAATTATTAAAAAGGAGGCCTAAAACAAAACGTGGAAAGTATAGTTAGACAGTTTCCTCCATTGCATCTATCCAGAATACCCCTTACAAACATATCTGAAATCTGGAACCTACCGCAGCAGTTTCTAAGGAGAAGCATTTAAAACAACAGCGCTGGCCATCAGTTTCTCCAGCGCTGATACGTCTAGAACTGTGGATTTAGCCTCCTTACTGCCCTGCGCCTGGGTGATCTGAAACGCAACACACTGTGCTGGATCAGACCCAAAGCTTAGTCTCACCTCCAACAGCAGTCGTCACCTCTTGCTGCTTCCAACAAAGACAAAAACTCCCCGGAGTCACAGTAACACAGAACCACCCATCCATGCGTGAGCGTTATGCCGATTCCCAACATCAGCTAGATACTGGTTTCTCATTAAATGAGTCTGTCAAGCTGTTTTAGCACGTATTTTAGGATTAGTGTGCCAAAGGGAGCACCTGTGAAGTCCACTTTCTGGCATAAGTCTGTCCCGAACTATATAGCCTGTTCTTCCAGTTTCAAAACCACAAAACATTAAAAAAACAAAACCAACACCCGCCCCCCCCAACCAACTTGCTCATCTGTACATTTACCTGTTCTTCGTCATCACCAGGCGCTCGCTCCTACTACTTTTTCTGTACGATTCAGTGACGTTAACAACCGCAGTGTTACAATTCATCACACAGATGCTGGCAGTAGGCAGAGTAATTTCTTTAAGATTGAAAATGGAATAAAATTTTCACTACCCAGCTGCTTCCCCTCCTACGGCTGTGTCCTTTTGGGGGTAATCAGACCAGACTATGTAACACTTAAAGGCACACCACCGATTTGTCAGCGCTCTACCATTTTATATTAGCTAACAGGACAACGTTTTTGGTGGCGGTGAACATTCAAGCGCCACCGTTGTGCATTACGACGCTCAGGCCTTGCAATGGGTAGTTTATATTCCAGTTAACTGTACGTTATCCGGATCTGGCTTGTCTGAAGTGTTTTGCGTTTGCGGTACTGCATCACGTCTGCCGTCGCTCTGGCTACTCTTTAACCTTGTTTGGACCACTGATTCAGCCTGTCCCTTCCTCATACACACACACACACTCTCCCCCTCCACCAGCTAAAATTTAATCACACAGCTCCGACCGTTCTCGCTGTTCTGGGTAGCACGATATAACATTTTGCAGTGAGGAAAGCCTACTATTTTATCATGATGAAAACTATTATTTCTCAAGCAGGAAGTACTGACCCTAATGCAAGATAAGTGATTTCAAAGAAAAAAGGTACACACCAGTTTCTTTTAAAACTATGAACAACTCCTGCACCTAGATTTTCAAAGCAGCAACTGTTCTGAGTCTCATTCTCGACTGTTTCCAGTTATTTTGCCCTTAAAAAAAAACAAACTACCCTTGCTTTTGATAGCAACAATTAGAAATAAAATTGCATGCATGTAAACAGAACACTTGCGAGGCAAAATAGGTATGTCTAGAGGTAGGAAAAGTATATTTATTAAAACAAATCCTGAAGAGTATCAAGTTAGGAACACCAGTTTAAATCACAAAGAAACTGGACAACATCAGGATGCCTATTGTACCGCTCCATCTACAAAAGTAGGAGGAGTTCCCAACACACTACAACTTGGCAATATAATTTTTTGGCAACAACTTCCTATCTGTCCTTACGCTTTTAGGTACATTCAAGTTTCTTTATTGCAGACAGCAACCAAGATCTATCAGCAGACTAGAGGTAAGTGATATAATCCAGTGCTTTAAACGTAAATATTAAAAGCAATTTACTTTTTGGCAGTGACGACACCACGGACAAAACTTGTATTAGAATAACGTGTTTAGAGCGATTCACGTGGGATGCAGGCCATTTGAATTGTGAGCCTTTCAGACAACCATTATTCACTCTAAGATTTGTTTACTCACCCCAAGAACACACGTTTTTATTTCTTTATTTTCCTATTTCTATTTCTGGCACAACAGGAGCATGAACTAAACCTGAACAGACAAATATGCTCTCAGAAGAACCCCAACACTAAACGTACAGTAAATTTAGTGTAATACTACTGTAATTCCCCTCCGTGGCTATATGTTAGTAAACACCATCTCTGCTGCGTATGGGGAAGAAGCTCTCGCACGCAGCCTTTGTTTCATTTAAACTGCTTTACTGATGTCAGACTTGTGAAAACTCAACACCCGCAAGCAACGCAGACTGCGTGTCTCGGGGAAAACCCTTCCTGGTCGCGCAGCAGATGCCGATTCAAAGGGTGTGCTGTCTTTCAAATTAATTCTCACAGGAGCCAAACGTCAGCTTAAGCCAAACTGCTTATTGTCAGGTAAGCACTAGATATAATAGAGCTCTACACACCTCACTTGTGACTAATTCCTCTTTCTCCTGTCATGACAGCCAGCTGGGATTCAACCTAGACCAAGCCCTGCAATGTCAAATGAAGCAGAAAGGCTCACGTAGCTCGTCAGACCTACCTACCTGTTTATAACTGAATTAGGCAGGGCAGCAGATTTTTAATTTTTTTTTTTTAAAAGGGACATTTCAAAATTGATGTTTTGGGAATTGCAGAAAAAACCTCTTATCCTTAAGGATCCTTTAACTTGTTCTCTATTTAAGTATCATAAGCACATTTTTTTCCCCTTGAAATAGTACAAAACCCAGGTGAACGACACCAAATCACTTAAGTGACAGTGAATGTGCAAAGCAGCTCTCAGAAGTCCAAGAGAAAGCCAACTGAAAACTGCGTTTCTAGCTAAAGAAATCTAACAGCATCCCTTTCAGATAAAGCCTTTTAAAAAAAAAAAGAAAAAAATTTTAGCAAAGACAACGGACATACTGCCCACTGGCAGCACACAACACAGCCTCTCCTGTTAAAGGATCAGATTCAGGCACTGGAGAAAGGTTTGAGGGTCTTTTCCCTTCCAACCTACTGCTGAATTCTTTTCCCTCCACACTCTAGTCCCAAAACCACACCCACCCCCCAACATATACTTCAGTGAATTTATACGTGCATGTTTTTAAACAGTCACCTATAAAGCCAGAGCTCTTTATAGTAAGGTCAAAATACAGTCCCAATATATCACAGTTTCCTAAGAGAGGCACGATGTGCAGCGTGAACTTTGACAAAGAAACATTTGACTAGTAAGTAAAACCCCACTGTTAATACTGGAGTTCTGATCTGCCAGCTGAATTTGGCTCTGCCCCCAACTACGGTTCACAAACACAGCGAAGTCTTAATGGTCTCAATATTTTCTGAAAATAGTATGAAGGCGTTCAAGGTTGTCCGTCCCCTCTCCCTGCGATTTTTTTTTTTTTCAATATTTTTCCTACTGCAAAAAAAACCCCCCTATCTTCAGATGGCTACTGGGTTACAACAGTGAGTTCAGACAGAAACTTCCCAGTGACAGAAGTTTGCAGAACAAACAATAAAAGGTAGGTGTTTAACTCCAGTATTGATAGAGTCGGTTCTTCTCCACGTTCAGAGTAACCCTTCAGCGCACTCTTTTATTCCAGTACGTTAGGTAATGAATCTACACACGACACCACGAGAAGCAGGAAAGCAGGCAATTTAAGGAACGCTCCATTTAACGTAACACCTTTCACAGGGAAAGGCCAGACAGATTTGTAGAGCTATCGAATATCTTCACTATGCTGTAAATACCATCTTCTGCAAAAACTCAGAGGAAGACAAAGACCTTTAGAGGATAGAACGGTTAAAATTAGATGCACGTGCCATGTGCCTCCCACTGAGAGTGGTCAGTACCGACTACCAGACGTTGGGTTGAAGCTTCACCAAGTTTGATACCGTGTTCTTTTCAAACCCATCTGTAACAGCCACAGACTTAAAAGGCTACATACACCCCGTTTGTCCCCTGCAAAATGCTGTCATATCAGCATGCAGCTTACACTTAAAGTTTACAGCTACTGCCAGTTACTATATCATCTAATACTTTTAAGTGTAACAGGTCAAAGAACAGTGCCACGTATACTTAGGAAAAAGCTGTAGTAGCACAATCTCACCATGCTACGCTTGGAGGTAAAGCAGCGGAGAACACAAGCTTTGGGGGAGAAGCCTGCCTGCAGCAAACGGAACAGACGCTAACTGTTCTTATCCTTTCACTAAAGTGTTGAGGATAACCTCAGTCACATTCCCAGAAAAAACAATGCCTTAAAATGCTATCCTCTTTGCTCCTGTAAAACAGACTTGATGCTGCCAACCTGAATACAAGAGGCCAGGAAGCAATCCTTACATGAGCTACTGGGCTTGGGCCAATGCATTTGTCCAACGCAAGAAAATACGAAAATTCTTTTAAAGGGACTGACCCGGCTGCAATTTGTTCCTAGCACCAGTTATTTGGAATATACACACCTGTGCTCCCGGTACCGGGCCAAAAGGGTTCGGCGGTCTCATGACCGGCTGACTGTATATTAAAGTTGGCTGCGTCATTACCGGTATGCCTCCCATCTGTGATGGCTGAAAAAAAGAAATCCAGACAACATCAAATCACACATAGCATTAATACATTGCAAGTATTTAAGGAGAGAAAGGAAAATGGTAAATTTTGGTCATATTTGATATATGCAATCATATAAGATATTTCTACAATATTCTGCAAGTAAAGGTTACTGGAAAGGAACATTAGAGCCTTTTCAGGGAATACTCTCAATAACAACTGAGCCTATTTAATCTCTTGCTGCAAAGATCCGAAACACTGAAATACTTGTTTAAGCACAAGCGTTTGTGCTGCTCCTCTTGCTCCCAAAACTGAGGTCTGACGGCACTTCCCTGCCTGCCTTCGAAAGCGCAAGAACAGTTTCACAGATACCAATGCAGAGCTGACGGCGTTCAAGAAAACTTGAGAACTGTATGCACAATTAACGTTAAGTCATTATGCAATCAAAGTCTAACACATTACTGACACTCTGGCTGAGCCAAACTAAGAGTTTAACATGTATTAATGGTCTTAGAAGCCGGGTTTTATTTTTTATCTTACGTAGATGCCCATCTCTGGCACTGCTTTTGGCACTCCCCTCAGGCTTGGGTTGACACCCAGCAGCAGTCCTACTGAAGCAATCCCCATTCCAAGCAGCATTCCTTGACTAATCCCGGCACTCCTCCCATCATGCCAACCAGCTGTTCGGGCAGTCACAGGGTGAACCCATTCAAGAAACTGACCCTGATGAAAACGCTCTACGAAAAAGGTTAAAAATAACTGCTGGCACAATGCAGCAGCCAGGGAATGCTAAGGTACTAACGGAATTGCCTGTCCCAGAACGCCCTCAGTCTGGCCATGCTCAGAACTACGGTACCTCCTACTTTTAGGAAAAATTGAACACAAAGGTTGTAAAATCGGTTAACATTTCAGAGATTCCTAGCAGTAAATGTCCTGAGTAAAGTCTGAACGAGCCAGAACAGTTTTGGGGATGCGTTATAAAGCCTACTGGTCATTCTGTAATGGCCCGGCTCACCCCTCCGCTCAGACGTTGCACGCTTTTGAACAAGTAACAGCAACTCAGGGTAAGAGAGCTATGGCTCCTATTAATTCCAGTTTCCATTTCACATCGGCATTTAAACCCCACGGTGAAAGCTGCTTTACGAAACACCAAGATTACTTTCTATACACTAAATATGTTACCTTCCCCAGCTGCTGAATCAAAATAACCAAGAAAATGCTTTGCACTGACGGTCCTGGAAGCGGTGTAGATCAAGTTTGAATCAACACTAAAGGGAGTTTAACCACAACGACTTTGCACAGAACATACTACAGGAGTTCATGGATGGGTAACGGGGAACACGATGCTCTCCCAAAAGACCCTCAAGAACACAGTTGGCTACTTTTGCAGTTCACTTACTGAGCATACAGAAATTATAAATCATTAATCTAATTTGTTTATAATGATGAAACATTTAGCTTATTTTTGTTAGACTAATCTGTGAGCCATTTAACAGAATAATTGTTCTCTCCCCTTTTGTTCACCCAGCAAAGCTGTGCTACATCAAAACCATACTAATAAAGAAGAGTTAAAGCATATAATTTCAGAAATATTTTAAAATTTGAGATGAGAAAAAAAATTTGAACAACTTTTCAGAGCAGCAAGGTCAGGTTTATGTCAAAAGCCTTCCGGTACTGGGGTGTCACAAAGAGATTCAATTCTCAACCAACACCACAACACACGGCAGTACCACAAACTCGCAGTTTTGTAGCATCGATCGTTACAGATACCTTCTGCTGAGGTTGGGAGCAAGTATTTAAGGAAGGTTTCACTTCACTGATAACACATTCCTGTCGCGACTGTAGCTACACTCACACAATACACTTATTTCTACACCAATAAAGCCCACCAAGAATAGACACTGTCTTAATTTTAAAAAAGTTTATGAAAAACTGAGGTAAGAAAGGGCAGACTTAATTTCAGACAAAACCCACTGAAGCAGTTCAGAAAACCAGGACTTAATTATTTGGTGAAGAATAAACCAAAAGGAGCTGACAGTCAGTCTCCAGTAAAATAGTTCAGAAAAACGCCTGCTACCAAACTGCGAGCAATCAAATGATACACAGCGTCTGACTTCTTTGAGTTGCAGGAGTTCCACTTACCATCCCATAGCCCATCATTCCTGTTGGCGTTGTGGCAGGATATGCCATTACAGGTGGTGCCTGGTGCGAAAAACAGTGGTGAACTGAGGGGAGGAGAGATCAGCTGCATACTGCTGAGACACTGCTTTCTGAAAGGGTCAACTGCAGCACGTAGCTTATTATGAATATAGACTGAAAGACCAAATTACCATTGCTTCTGCCAACGTTACAGGAATTCTCTTCTCTTTAGCCAGGGCGTACACGCTATGGGGATTCTCCTACCACGCTTCAATATCAATTCAGCTCTAACGTGGATATCCAACTTGCATTCCCTCTCACTCACCCGCTTAGTACAGTGAATTTGAACAGGTTAAAAGTCCTCTCAGTACTTTGCAGGTATTTTTGTATTACCCTTAATCTAAGTTAACTTTTACGAAGTTGCAGGAAGACTGCTGTCAACAGACAAAACCTGGGGTGAAGCTACGTTTTGTAAACAACTTGGCAACATATAGGTAAAAAAAACAGCTGATAACTCTTAGAAAGAAAAATATATTAAAGATAGTTTTTCATATCCCAACCACATTCTTTGTTCTACAGTTTCATTATCCACTTTCTAAATTAGTATTAACTCTTACGAGGACAAAAAACGTTTTTTTTTTTTCAGACTAGAAATCGGTGCTTATAAATATTCAGATAACTTGTTGTCTATCCACTCCACCTCCTGTTAGTCTCTCCTTTAAGAAAAAACAGTAATTTTTGTGCTATTGCTGTGGGGATTACTATTCGTGACAAGACAAAGACCACATGCATTTCTTGGTACACAGAGATTATTGATACAGAAAAGAGGGAAGCGACAAAATATTAATCATACTGGGTTAACTAGAGCAGATAAACTGTAACGTCAAGAATAGGACATCAGCAAAGCTGCTTCTGAATTCAGTTCTAAGGTATCAGCTGCCTTTTCATAGAGAGTAGCCAGTGACACTGGCACTTCAATTGCCATTAGAACAGGTTTCCCCAGTCGAGAATGATCTAGACTGTGTACTATCCATATATTTCACTCAACTGGCAAAGCTATCCTGAAAATTACTTTTTTTTTTGTTTTGCTTGTGCACCCACACCTACACACACACAAACATGCTGACTAAATTTATTTCTGAGTGCTCGAGTATGGACCTACCATCCTTTAGTTACAGAGTTACCCTGCAATAAAAACAGAATACAGGGAAAGACCAATATCACTGTTGACATAAAGAAAAAAATCCTTTGCAATGAAAGACTGCATTCCTCAGACAGCAAGCACAGGTTATTGCTTGCCCTTTGTAAACTGTCAGCATGGATTTTCTTTTTTCTAATGAGCATTAATGCCATATTAGTCTCTCCCCACTAAAAATAAAAATAAAAAAAAAAATCAAGATCTACTGTAAACGTGGATAAAGTGCCAAATATAACAGAAGCCCGTGAGGTTTCATGCAGTTATTCAAACACAAACATTTTTATCTTCATTCAAAATTCACCGAGTGCATTAAAGGCAGCACAGACACACACCCCAGCTCTCTGGCAGCAAATGGTACAGTTTAAAGCAAGGAAAAATAATCTTGGTATTTCCCATGCCATCATTCGAGTCAGAGCCTGCAGACCACCTATGAAGTTCGTGTATGCTAGGAAAAGCTCAATTTTTGGCACACCAAAGATTTTAAAATGAGAAATGTGTAAATAGCAAGAAGGTTATGAGATTCTGCAACAGCAGTGGTTAATATCAGCATGCCAGTCGATTGCAAAAAGGCTGTGGGTTGTTTCACTTACGTATTGTGGAAAATGCATGCCATTCTGTATTTCCCAGGGAGAACAATTACATAATGCAATAACACTGGATTAGAAGCAAATACTTACACAACGGAATATACACAGATAGCATTTTAGTTCACAAGTACATTAAATGTTTACCCCAACACATTCTTGTAATTCAAGTCATTTACTGAGACAACATACACCTGTGATACTGTCATCATCACTAGGTTTGCAATTGTTTTGCATAGTCCATTTATTTGGTATATGCCTTTTTTCCAAAGGTAAGAAAGCCTTATTTTCCAAAGCATATTTATTTAGCAAGCCGCAGCAACTCCACAATAAATAGACCAGCAGAGGAAGACAAACTTTTCCCCCCCAGATTATTTCTGTTTCAATATTTTTATGTTAATAGAACAGTTTCACAGGAAGAGAAGTGTCTCAACAGTATCTCTAAATAATAAAAGCTGTTAAGTGTAATGACTTATCACAAGAAGATGTATATACAAGACATGAGTTATTGAACAGATTCAAGCACACAAGTAAACTCAAACCACCAGTCGTTAAAGCAGGTAAGTAGTTACAGTTTCTTCAATATCTACACATCCTCCAATAAGGTCCACAAACATTTCTCCCTACATAAATATCCTGAGTTGACAAGGGACACCCAGTAGGGAAGAGGTGGTGGATCCAGGGAGACAAGCTCTCTCTTTCCAAATCCACAATGTTGTATTATTGCACTGTGGATTCAACCTCCCCCAGTCAGATGCAATAAATCCTTGGGGGTGGTTTGTCACCTGTTCTGTCCACGTACGGTTCTCCAGGTCATTGGTGAAAGGGTGAGTGGGATTCACATGCAAAAATGTTCTGTTAGCATTGTGAAAACTATTCATGTAAACTCTTAACTTTTTTTTTTGGACACGTAATTAAGAACCCTTGCTCTACATGCTACCCAAAAATCCTTGCCAATACTACCTGCTACAATAGACACTATAAAGCTGATCACCAAAATTGACATGCATTAAAAACAATTGTGCACATTGGGGCAGGAAAGCAGCAGTTATGTACATTAAGGAAGCTATAGCCCACATCACTGCACAGACACCTCTACAAGTATCTAGAGGATTAATGTCTCGGCCCGTTCTCACCCCCAGAGCAGGCTGAGTTGTAATGTATACGTACTTGATGTATCAGTGCACCTGAAGAACATACTTTTCACACTTCTACTTTTCTGGACTGCAAAGTGCTCCCCCCGCCCTGGAATTCAGTTTTATGTCACTTGTGTGAAACACAAAGGCTGCTATCGTGCCATGAGAGAGGCTGGTCAAGCACTACTGAAGTTTCTGCTAAACCTGCACATGTCACATCAGAAACTATTTGCTAGAACCGCACAGCTAAGAAAAACAAATCCAAGCAGTACACATCTCAAACTGACCACTTCAATTTTCTACTACCCTTTTACTGCATCCACAGATCACTCTCCAATTTCTCTGCTATACATCAGCCTGCATTTCTAAGTTGCAGGGAACTCACTATTTGCTTACCAACGTTGGTGCATTCCACGCAGTTGTAGGTGCAATCTTGGGTTGCCAGTTGGAACCACCTGTCAGTTTCTTTTCACCTGGCTGAGTCCAGTTTACATCACTTCAAATAAATTTTTTAAAGAATTGTTAGAAAACATTGGATTTTCTCACAACACTCCCTCACCGTTTCCTCTCGGAAATGTGGCTTCTTTTGTTAGCGAAGAAACTCATTTAGCAAAGGAGCTGATAAAAGGTCTCATGACAGCCTGTTTTGCCTAGGAAAAGTAGGGTAAGACATTCAACATGAGCCACCCCAGCTTTACCAAATCTCAGTCAAGTTCCCCAGTACAGGTAAGTTAGTTTAGCTGACTTTTCTTGAGTCAAGATAGTTTAGTTAGGAGCAACTGCATACTAGATTTCACAGATGGTCCCGATAAGCCTGAAATTTGCTAGTTGCATTCTCAACTTTGCTGCTAGAGCAGATGTTCGCTACTCTAGAATATGCCCTGCTTCAAAACTCACTTGTCTAAAGGTCAACAAGTCGGAGGTCGCAGTTTCACAGTCTTTAATACAGCTCTGCACACACTCAGACCACACAAAGTATAAGGTGTGCTAAGATTACCTACAACTACAAAGAAACATTTTGATGAACTCATTTCCTAAAGGTATGGACAAAGCCTGAAAGGAATCAGACACAGGAGGACATCTTGCCTGCTGTTATCACTGTCACTACCACTCAGTCTACAGTCACCTTCCAACAGCTCTCAACAATTCATTATACCTTGTAGGAGAAACAAAGTACAATCCCAGACGTGCTCTGAAGGCTAACGTTACACTGTTATGCACAGGTTTGAACCTGTACTTTCATAAAAACTTACTATCAAGAAAATCAAAATGCTCAACATTTGATTAAACATACTCACTTTTTAGTAGTTCCGTTTCCAATGCCCAAATCTGTCACAAAGTAGATAGAGTTACTATTGAAATTCTATTCATTTAAAAGAATCAAATAAGTATTTACACGTTAGCGGTTCAATACTTACTGCCTACAAGATTGGCTAGAGATGAATCCAGATCATCTGACACTAATTTGTTAGGTGGTACTTTGGCAACTGGAAGACTCTGGTTTTGAGAGGCCACTGTTGGTTTTAGGAGACCACCTAGTTCATCAAAGCCTTGGAATGATAAACATAAAACAAGTGATTTGAATCAAAGGCCTCCCATGAGTGTTGAGACACTCAATTAAATAGACAGCGAGTTCAACACAATGGCTAAAATACAAAATTTAACCTAGTGATGCTACACTATACAAGAAGGATAGAACTTATTATGCCTCTCGATAAAGGAGATATTTACTACAGAAAGGAGATTTCACTCCACTAGTTTAACCTACATGACATCAGTTTTACACGGAATGGATTCACAATGACTGCAAAGCAATCAAAATGTAAAACAAAATAAAGAATAAATATCTAAAGTATTTCAATCTTATAAAAATGCGTATGTATTTGCTTTTAGCGGATCACTGGTTTGTCCAAAAAGAATCTGATGTCAAGAGTCTGATGTCAAAACACCAGAAAGTATTTACTTTCCAGATACTCAAAAGAACAGAAAGAGTACTAACTATGACTACAATCCAAATTAACCATGTATGTTTTGATGATTTATCATTTTCTGAAATAATCTTAACATCGAAAGAGTAACATGCAGGCAAAAGAAGTGCCAGAAATGTGTTGCACAGATATATAAAATTAAGATGCAACTTTACCTCTTCCGACCATACTCTACAAACACAGACTTAATTTCAGTTGACAGCATGTAAAAGTGAAGGCTGTTCACTGTGTGAAGTTTCAATGCACAAAATATTTAAGTGAAGGAAATCAATGTCAACATTTCAGCAGGGTGCACACATAGAGATAGTGTGCAAGGAAAAATTATTTAATTAATAAAGAAAAACTGGATGAAGAATGCTGCTATTGACCTTTTAAAGTCAGCTTTCTTTTCTTCAGCTGGAACACTGTCACAGCAGTATGAGTAAATACAGATTAAGAGACATATACCTGAAGAATAAAAAAAGTTAAAGGACATAAGTCATCTATTTTAGTAAGTTTCTTACCACCAGAATCTAGGACAACATTAGAAGATTTGTTTCCAAACACAGACTCAAAGTCAACATTAAGGCCAGCTGATGGCTGTGGTTGAGCAACAGGAGATGGAGGGAACCCTGTGGGGAAAAAGAAAGAAGTTGAATGTTTTTATACAGCATTTCCCATGAATCCACCTTCTTTATGCAAGACAAACCAAATAAATATGTAGATTGTTCAAGTATGGCAGAAAGACTAGGAATACCTCAAAGGTGCAGATTACACCCTGACACTGAGAAGCATGTAAGAGAAAGAGCTAGAAGCAGTTTATTTGAAGTTTACTTGAAGTTACTCCTCCAAAGAAAGGTTTTGGCTCAAAAACTGGACAGACAGGCCATAAAGACACTCCTCCCCTCAGCTGCTAAATCTCTGGACTAACTATTCACACCTTCCTTATTCCTTTACCAAATACAATAACAATATTGAGGAAATAATCACCATGCTTCTCCAGGAAAAGAAGCTGGCTGGGTACAGAATCTGTTTCAAGACTACCTGCCTGAAGATTATTCCCTCCAAGTTTTATATGAGTTGAGCAGTTCTCTTAGATACAACTGGAGTAAGATCCAAACCATCCCAAGGTGCCTGACTAGTAATGCCTTCGATTAGACACTCTTAACACTAATAGTTTTTAAAGCACACACTTAGTTATTTTTGGACACGCATTTTGCAGGCAACCATGTTTTGCAGGTAAGTTTCTAGTAATTATGGCAAGATACAGGGAGTTAAAGCCAAGTTTCAACTCCTGTTCCTGTCTGAACTTACTCCATTTGTCTCCTCCTATGTATCTGTAAAGCAGTGTTCTCCAAATACACAATTTTTTTCAATACTGTGAAAATTTATTGCAGTACAAAGCATTGCGTATGATGTTTGGCAGTATTAAGTTGATAGTTCAGTAACATGGAGGTCAATACCGATTTGTTTCTTAAATTATATTTTTTAATGTTATTATGATCATGCACACAAGCGTGCATGTACATCATCTTGATATTCAGGAAATTACAGAAGGAATTATTACTTTATATGAAAAGCACAAAAAAAAATGCAATGCCATCTTGAAAACTAGCTCTTCTGGTTTCTAACAGAAATTTTGATGATATGGAGAAATAAAAGAAAAGGATCACAAATACTTCAGCAGTAAAACATCACAGTGAGCGGAAATAACCGATGAAGAATACTTCTTGGATTTCATTTAGCTTGCCGTGACAGCACCTCATTTCAATCTTACTGTTTTCCTGAAATAAGTCACATTTCACCGAAAAAATTAATAACTACAGGATGCTATCCTTGAACATAAACTTCACAGAAAAAACAAGTTTAGATTACCTGTTCCTTCCTATTTCTCTTAAAGGAACATACAACTCATAACTCAAAAGCATCCATCACCAAGAATTTAAATAATGTACTTTTCATCAAAAACAAATCAAAGAAAACAGCATACAGCAAAACATGGGAAGCAGTAATGCGGGGAAAAGATAGGGAGTAAATAATCAACAAAACAAAATGAGTATCTTTATGACAAGTATACCGTCAAGTTGTAACAAGCCATTTCAGAGACTCTGAACTGCGGATAGAAATTGCTTTGATGGGATGTCCTGCAACTCTCAAATCATGCCTGTACCAATAGAAAACTTGATTTACAATAGGCTCATATTTTTCTTTAGAAAATGGCCTTAACTGAAACAAGCTGCATTTCCTGCTCTCACATTTTAGGAAGTTTCAAGCTTTATGAAGCTAACGAGACGAGATAAGCCAGAAGACAAAACAATACATAGGACTCCTTTGAATCAGCCTCTGAAAAAGATCAAATCCTACTCCTGGTATCAACCACCAGCCCAGGGCATTTTGTCTGACATGGATGTTTTGAAAGGTGCAAAGGTCAGTATTTTCAGTGGAGTTCCTTTGAGGGAATAAACCAAGATGATTTGACAGAAACTAATCATCCTGCTTTTTGGATATGGAACAAAAGGGAACAGAGTCATACGTAGTTATTTAACCTTTCGTTAAATGACTAGCTAATTTCTATTCAAAGACACAAAACCAAAATGTGACTTTACGGTGCTTTTAAGAACTAACTCTTCCACAAATCATTTATTGAAGGTATTCCTAAACCTTGAATAGCAACAATGTTAACACTCCCTGTTCAATCTGGTTTAGATAGATTATCATCTGTGATAGCCCACAGCCCATCTAGCAACTGTCGGGATGGTATTCCAGAACCAGTATCAATCAGTACTGGGTCACTATACAGACATCACACAGCTGCACAAATGATTAGCCAGTAATTTAATGCAGCAGATACCTCTTTCTCATGTTCTGTTGCAAAGCTTTGTACTAGTATAGTGCACTGTTTAAGAGTAATGTATCAACAGAAATGCCATAAGCAGCAAGATCATCCCAATCCCTTTATCTTAAAAGCAAGAAGGTAGAGTTAAGATGAGAAGATACTTAACAACATGCAAGTCTTGTGTGTGGTATGTAACAACACGTAAACTACAAGAGATCCTGAAATGGGGAGATACTCATTTCATGTTTAGACTAAATATGGCTTAGTTTAGCACAAACTGAAAAAATATATACCATTTGTTACAACACACCTAGCACAAGCACATGAATAAAAGTTGGAGCCACCATAATAATGCACTTCTGTAGCCAATAACACACCTACTAGTTCTAGGCACACAACACATTCAAATGTCTGTGTTTGTGGTCAGGCTATGTCCCGTTACCTACCTCCAAATAGACCAGCTACAGAAGAAGGCTCATTGCGGAAATGAGAAGCATTAGGGTAAGCTTGAGGACCACAAAAAGAATCTGATAAGGCGTATCACACAAGAGAGAAAGCCAGGAAAGGAGAAGAGGGAGAGTTACAGAAAGAGAACCAAGATACACTGTTTATCTGCTATTCAAAAATTTAACTTCAGGTCAGTCTATAAATCCACATATACTCTAATAACATAGAACCAATGGAATGAAATCAATACACATCAGACATACAGCAAGAAACAAGTTTACATTATCTATAACACAAAAGGGGAAAGCACGGTTTCAAAGTTACAGCTATATTAGGATAAATACTTCTTTTTTTCCAAGCAAATGCCATGTTTTACACCCTTGGAAGAAACGAGAGTAAAAGTTCCAAGGCATTTGTCTTATACCTGAAGTATAAGGATACAGCCCAATAGTGGATTCATATTTGGTTGTCACAAAGGGATTTAGTTCAGTAAATGGATTGTAATGATCTAAAGAACCAGAAAGAGTTATTTTAAATCCACATTCACATTATCGCAGCACCTTGTTTGTGCTACAGCTAAAACTGCATTAACATTTCACATATCAACGTGTCAGGAGGTCACACTTTGGTTCTAGATATATCTTTAGAGAATGAGACATTGGAAGGGAATGCAATGTATCAATGCCATCCATCTCCAGCGACTTCAGGGCTGTTGTGTGATGAATACTGCGCAAACCAGCGAGTGCCACAAAAACCCACCAGGCTCCTTGTTCACAGTCCTGCACTGCCGCAACTTTTTTTGTATGACTGCAGAACAAATTATACAGAGGAAACTGATCTGACTGAATAACCCTACTACAAAAAGCTGTATTTCAAGTGATCATTCTACATTCACATGAACCATACAAATTTTATTGGAAGCGCTGGAAAGACCGGTTAGAAGCATAGGCCAGATTATTACGCAGTAGTACCAGTTTAAAAGTATTCGTACACTACTGCCTCAGCCAACTAATCTGCCCTGGGAATTGTGGAGAAAAGTTCACGGCAAGAGCTCTTGTGCTTGATCTTGCTTGCTTTCCCTCTCCACTAACTTAAGACAAGCTAGGAAACTAGTTAGCTAGGGCGACAAAGCGTAGGTGGTACGAGTATCTCTAAAGAAATCCCCTTGTTTTATCTCTGTTAACAAGTATCAGAGATATCAAAGATCTCTTTGTTGTAAGAGTCTGGATTCTTCTGTGATCAATCCTAGTGGGCTTCAACCTGCAAAAAGAAAGCCCTGTTGGTGCAGCACGATTGTCTTTAAACCTAGCTTTGCTTAAGAACAGAACTAACATGTAATTAATTGATTTTTAGTCTATGGAAGCTAACTTAATTCTTCATATTGAAAAGTAATCAAATTACTATGTAGCTGCACCAACAGAAATGTTAGAAGGATTTCTAATATGACAGCCATGCTGAATCACCTCCAAAGTAAGATTTCAACAGTTTTAAATTAGTTTATTGCCTAGTGGGTAAACAGTTTGAGTAGACCATCCACCAGAATGTGCGTGGCTTTACCAGTTTTGTTAATGCCAACAGGACTGGGGGAAAAACACCCACTACCAAAAAAATTAGATTAAGCTCCTATGTTTAAAAAGAACATTTCAACCTGAGGAACAAAGAGGTAGCTTTTCATTCTCAGGCATATGTAGTATTTTACCTTAAAATTCCTAAGCCTAAGAGACACTGTGTAAAACCATACTCAAACAACTGCTTTAACTATAACTAAGTTCCTTTACATCAGGTAGAATCCCATCTAGGTAGCCAAGCAAGGACTTTAACACCATTTTTATGGCACAATTACTAAATCAAGTTCTAACATAGCACAAAATCAGCCCCAAATGACCAGCTTTTAGTTTCTGAAAGGCCCCACAAACATACTTTAGAAACTGAAATAATGTTAAAATTTTTAGGAAATAGGAAGTGAGTTTAAAATGGTACTTTACCAACAAACATTTCATGTGTGGGTGTCCTACTGGTGAAAGTAGATACATCAGAAGACACAGACAGATGAGCAGCATCGTTAGTTTTTGTAAGGAAAGGATTTAGGTTTGGAATGGCATCATCAACACTATCAACAGTAGCAGAAAAAGGATCTGTTCAATTCCAGAGAGCAAGAGAAAGAAGAAAAGGGAGATGGATTTAGTTACATGCTGCTTCCTAGGTATAGAAGAGTAAGAGTTAAGAAGAGTCCAGGAATTATAGTTTTCTCCTGACATCTCTAAACTCGGGATGACCTAGCTAATTGTTTAATTGTCAAATTGTCCAGAATTATCCATTCTCTGCTCAAGAAAAATACTACAGAGATTAGCTACACGTTTACTTTTTTTTTTTAAAGTAATACCATCTTGGTCTTATGACATGTACTTCCTCCACAGTGTGTTTTATACTGAAGATAAGTATGTTGTTATTCTTTGAACATGATCACTTTTTGCTTCACTCAGTCACGTCCTGACACTTGCAACAAGTTCTCTGGAGCGGAGACTGCCTCTTAGCATAACAGAGCCCCAGGTGCTAAGTGAGGATTCGATGCAATACCATCCTGAGGATAGCTTTCAAAACCCAAACAAACAAAAACAATGGAGCTGTACTTTTCCTCCTTCTTCAAACTGTGTTTATGGATTTTATTTTTTTTTGTTTACTGGGCATCATGAAATTTTCAAGAGCTATGAATACACCAAGGTAGCGTACAGGACAAAAGCACTTTCCTTGCTACCTGGGGCATCAGGAGCAACAAGCTTGTTGTGGATATGCCACCAGCTGCAAGCAAGCAAAAACCTGCTCTGCTTTGAGGGACAACAGCCAGTGAGCAGTGATAAGGAAAATGTTCCTTATTAAAAAAACTGTTGGACCGTACTGGGGAATGAAGGAAACATGGATCTACGTGAGTCACTTCCCAAGGCATATAGGAGAGTTTCAAGGTTTCCTGAGGATGGCTACAATTGCCAAGCTGAAGCACCCCTATACTCCAGGATCCAACAGATAAACAGGTTAGGAAAGGCAGCTACAATGCGTGTTGACAGAAGGAGCTGTGGTTTAGCCGTCTGGCTTCAAAGCACACAAATCCTTGATGGAAAACTCAAGAACTCACAAGTGAGATCAGCAAGAGTTGCATCTAGCCCTATTTGTTTTATCACAGTGCCTAGAACTGCAACTTACTCTTCTAGGCAAAACCACTACAGAAAAATGTCTGAATAGTAATTATAGGAGAGATTTCTTAAGTACTTCAGTTTCCAGCTTTTTTTTTTTTTTAAACCTGGTTAGGTTACCAATTTATCCACAACTCTTGTAAATACTACCGTGATGTGTGCAACAGTTCAAAGTGTAAGTTATTCTCTCTCCCTGAATCTGACCTCCTCATTCTTCGCTATAAATCCCACACGGCTTGATAACATGTAGATTTCAGTCATATGCAAGTCCTAAAGAAAATGAAATTTTGAAACCATAACTGCATTATTCTTTGCAGGCTTAATACACGCTTTGATTTTCTGCGAGCTCAAGATACCTTATTCAGTAAGACCTGACTTCTCTCCCAAATTGCTTGGCTACGTTGCAAGAATGAGTGAAGTACCTTAAAAAGCCTTTTCTAAATCATTCAGTCAGCAAAATGACAGTGTCCAACACTGAAGAAAGGATAAGCAGAATAAGCTAATGTAGTATGTGTAATATATAACAGCAATACAGAACTTTGTATTGTCTTATGTATGTTTCAGATGGTAATATTACCACCTAATGCACTTGTGGACATGCCAATCAGCCAGTCACCTGAAACCGAGTCCTTGCTTTCAGGTACTGCTTAAAACTGTTGTCTGCTTTGAATGCTATTCTAGAAGCTGTAGAACAAACAGGTCTGACAATAAAACAGGTCAGATTATCCTTTAATCAGCTCCTGCTTGCTTTTTCTGTTGCTGCTTCACATTCTTCTGATTCTATTGGTTCTCCTTGTAATTGGAAAAAATCCAAACAGATAGGTCAAACTGATTATTTCCACACTGATACATTTGTTTTGCTTCTGAAGTTTAGGTATAAATTGACAGCTGGCAAATATACCAGACACAGCTGGAACGGTCTCCGAACAATCCCAATAAACAGCTCAGATAAAACAATATGAAAGAAGCTAAAGAGGACAAAGTTTTTAACCATATTTGTTTGAAACTACTGTCCACTGGAATTATTTTACACATGCACTCAACAGGAAAGTTACTACATACCACTTTCTGTTCCCAAATCCCAGGGTTGTATATGGAGTTTCATGTGTTTTGACTAGTAAGACAATGCAATACAACTTTAGATTATCAAGATTTTCTGAGTTGTAATCCGTTCTCAGACTCTTTGCTCATCCGCCTCATTATAATTCTAGTCAGCGTGTTCAATCTCGTCTGAGTCTCAAAACTTGCCAGTGCTAGTGACAAAGGTAACTGAAAATTAATTGGGTTTGGGCAATTTATATCCTTGCATATTTAGATTTTAAAAATCGCTGTCTCTCCTGACAATAACATCTCAACATTTCTAAAGCCCAATTTCATCCTCTAATACACACGGCATCTGTTTGTGTCAATGGAATCACTCTGCACCTTCACCCTATCATTAGGCATTAATGATTCAGGTGCATTTAAAAGAGAAATTTGAATTTTGCAAACTTCTACCTTTAAGTTATCCAACTAGAAGTATTTTACCTGAGAGAAAAAAGACAAAGGTTTTTCAGTAGCATCTCTTACAGTTTGAAAAAGTAAACTGAAAACATGCAATTAGAGAACCCATCCTCCAGGAGTTTTTAACCTCATTAGCTTTAACATTTTTGGAAGTGCAAGACAAAAGGCAGCAACCCAAATATAATCCTTTTGTAAGAATTCATCCTTTTATTACACACCAAAGAGCTGCTGCATAGAATTTTTAACAGTAACCGATTTTAGCCCATTGCAACTTGTAGCTGGTTTGATACTCTTCTCAAAGTCACCATATACACCAAATACAAACATCATCATGTCAGAAAATTACCTAACGGAGGGATGCCGTGCAGTGGTTAGAGCACAGGACTGGAAATAGTTCAGGTTCCATTCTTGGCTCTGCCACTGACTTGCCGTATGACTTCAGACAAGTCAGTTAATTGCTCGGACTTCCCCATCTGTAAAATGTGGAAAGCACTTCTTATCTACCTCACCTACGTGAAGTGAGTGTTCATGTCTGTAAAGCTGAAGAGATTTTTTTTTTTGATGAAAGGTAACAAAAAAATGGTGATCCCAGAATTGTAGCCTAAAATTTTAGTAGACAATCCAAAATCTGCACAGTTATTTAAATCTTAGAAGTATTTAGATATAAGCCAATAGTAAGCAGATATATCAATGACTATTACTGAAGACTTTTACCAGGAGTAACACAACATTGAACAAACACAGACTTTCAGGCTCAATTTTCAGGTTAATAAAGAAATGCTAGATTGTGATGTGACCTTCGAGAGGAAGATGATTTCCCCTTTTATCTCTCACCCATGAAACAAATAGGACAAGCAGAAAGCAAACAAGATGAGCCAAAATGTTTTTCTCCATCTCTAAACTCTAAGCCTATTAAACACTGAAATTTGTATGCATAACTCTATATGCTCCTCACTGCATCTTTCTCAAAAGATGCTCTGCTCAGCAAAACTAAAGAACAAGTAAACTACTTTTATTTATTTTTGAAGCTACCACATATATTAGTATTGCCTCCATCA